AACAAATGTAATGTATATTTTAAAAGTTGTCGATCCATTCTACTTAATTTGATTAATTTACAACAATGCTCTATCTATTTTTTTAAATTTTGTTGTTAAATTATTTCTTATCTTTCGAAAGAGTTTTTTATTTATTTCTGAGCAATTATTGAAATTGTGTTTTTTTAATTAGAATCCTGATTTTTTACAAAATACTTAAAAAATTGATTAATTTTATTCATTTACAATTCAAATGATCCTTATAAATGATATAAATTAAACTATACTTGTATATTTTTTCATTTTTAATCTTTATAATTTAAAATCTCTTATCATAAACAAAATAATAAATGAATAAATAATATTAATAATTTATATATTTACATACAATGAAATCAAAATATATTAATAAATAAGTATAAAATTAAAGTTAAACTTATTAATTTAGATATATTAGAAAAAAGATTATAGAGAATATTATTTTTTGGAAAAAGCTGATTAGATATGAATCATTTATTATAGAAATTTCCTTATTAAAGTCAACCTATTTTATTAATTTTATGAGAAGTGAAGAGTTTAAGAATTCAATTATTTCTTTTAGATCCGATCATCCAAAATTAAATAATTATTGAGATAATTTATTTACTACTAATAGAATTCACTTTTAATATAATTTTAAGAAAACAAACCATTAATTAATTCTTTATGTAAGTTAAATATTTGAAAAGGAAACATAATATTAATGGTTTAAAAATTTATATTATTGGGTAATGAATTTTAAAATATATTCTAGAGTCTAATGTTAGATTCTAAATGATCGATTATCAATAATTCTCTGGAATTGATATTGAGCTTATAACTTGTATTGCCTATTTCTATTTTAATATAATTGATTTAAATTAGATATTAAAATTAATATAATCAAAAATCTAAAAGATATATTTAGTTACTCTGGGGATTCAAATAAGCACCTCTTAAAAGATAATGATAACGGATAATCTCTTGATCTAGAGTTTTTTCCTTGGAATATAAATATGTACACTGTAGTATTTATGATGAATTATAAGTAGAATAGTGATCTTTTCGAAAAACAAAACTAAATCGAACTTCATTACTATTTTTCAATTTCTTATATTATAAATGGGTCCAGACTTTAAAGCATAAGCAAATAATTAGCGTCTATATATCGTGATAAGCATTTCAGTAATATAATTTCAAGTACACTGTTTTAATATCTCTCTTAAATTTTTTGTTGATATTTTATTTAAATGAAGTTTTAAATTGATTGGAAATCTAGTATAAATAATTACTAATTATTATTAATTAAAGTAATTAAAACTATTCATCCTTTGGTATTTTCCTAATCAAATTAAACTTAAATGATCAGAAAATTCATTTAATTTAAGATTATCCTAGTGGCCTCCTTTTTTATCATTGATATCACATCGGTTATTTAAGCATAAATTAAATAGTAGTAGTTGTTTTCAATCTTGCTTGAGTACCTTAGATTCAGTTTATATTCCCTAAAATTTTTAAAATTTGTTAACTAACACCCTAGTAACTAATGCATATTTTGTTTTTAGATTCTAAGCTTCTTAGTTTGTGAATACATCAAAAATCTCTGTCTAAAAATTAGAATTTAGACCTTCGTTAAATATAACTATTTTTGAAATAAATCTTTATTTTAGTCATACTTACTCAATTTGGAATTATATTTAATGACTATGTTATGATATTATTATTTAAGATTACTTATTTTTGACTTTTATTTTAAGTTCTAGAATTAAATTATAGAAGAACACTATATTTTCATGTATAAACTTTGTTAATTTAAACTTATTGCTTATCTAAAATAAAATCTTTTATCACTATTAATATATACTAAAAATTCAGTATTATAGTTGGTCTACTTCTATCTATATTGAAAAATTAAATAGTATACAAATTTAATATCTAAACTTTGTCGATTTTCGAAATATTTTGACACAGAAATTAATCTTCAGATTTTCTTAATTTTAGATGAAGTATCTAATACCTAAATTTTTAGTGGTTGTTTAATAGATATTTAAGATTATTTAAATTATTGATAATTTCTAACTCTCAAAGTTTTAATTATTTAACAGGAATACTTTATTATTAGAAAGTGAAGACGTTTCGAATTTTTAACATTTATTCTTCTTCTTCATTCCATCAAGTTCTTTTAAAATTAAAATTTTTTAATATTTTATCTTTCAGGTTTTAAACTCAATAAAGCAATTCTGAAAACCAAGATTTTGATCTTTTCCGATATTTTAGATGTTCAAACTAAAATATCATTTGTGATTTGAAAACATGGGGAAATTATACTATTAATATATTTGCTTCTTCAATCATAAATATAAGCTCCTCAGTTTTAGAGAGGAATAGTGTTTCTTTTAGAAAATTCAGAACTTCTTGCTTGAATAATTTATTGGTCTTATTTAATTATAATTTATCCTTATTTATTGCTATCTTCTCTAATTATGAAATAATATGATAAAGGTCTTAATAAAAGCCATTACTACAATATAATTAGGGTAGGTAAATATTTTGGTTATTATCCTAAATTCTAATTAATTCTGTATTTTATTCAATCGTATTATTAAGATTATATTTGATAAGAAAAGGGACAATAAAGATCTTAAAAAATTCTTTATAAATATTTATTCTAAATAAAAGGCTCATCAATTTAAATATTTTATAAATTAATTCAATAAATTTAAAAATTATTTACATCCTATTTGATTATTTTTACTTTAGGCAATTTAGGATAATTTAATTATACATGTAGCATTTTACATTTCTAAATATTTCCTTGAACTCATGGATTAATATAATTGTTCTTACATTTTCTTTTATTTTTATAAATTTTTTACTGTTATAAAATTATTATTATAGATTTCTTGTAAAAGTAATATTATTTATAGCATTAAAGTTCGAGCGTATTGGTTTTCGATATGGAAATATATATTATTTGATATTTTAAATAAATGATTACTTTATCAATTCAAATGAGTCAATATATAAAACTAAATTAGACTTGACTTAATTATTTTTTATAATATCAACAGAGATTTGATTTGGTACAATATTCAAAATGAAACAATTAGAATGATGGAAATATGAATACACCTTTTCCAATAATGTTTTTTTAATTCTATAATTATAATTAATACAAATACAATAATTGTATAAAAAAGAAATAAATTAAAGTATCAAAAAATAATAATAATATTACTCAAATTAAGAAATTAATATCACTACTTGAGGACATATAGATAAATTATTAGTATTTCATAGACAAAATACATTCAAATGTATCTTAATAAAAGTAGAAAAACAATTGTACAGATTTAAAATTTAATAAAAGCAATAAATTATACAAATTTAATTAATCTATTGATATCTGATCTTTCACTGATTAGAATCACTATTTCCTATTCCTTATTAATTTCACATCTTTTTAACAAGCTGTTTATTGGGATGTTGTAGTCCTTCTATAATTGAGAATCCATATCACACCCAACTCATTTTTTTAAGAACAATATATTCTATCACTAACAAGGTTCTCTGTAAAAAAGAAATCTATCTGTTGATAAAAGAACCTTATTTCCATCATATTAATCAAATCTAACTTAACAATCAAATATTGAATTAATCTTTAAGGGTTAATTTTAATTTATTTTAAACATCATTCAATATATGTTATAATAAAATTAAAAGTTTTTCTACTGAACCTTAATATTAATAATCTAATAAAATTTGCGATTCACTTCTCATTGATTCTTTCTATTATTTTTATTTATCTAAAAAAGTAGTAGATTTATCCATAGATCAAAAAGGGTTTTAATTAATCATTCAATCGAATTGAAGACTAATTTAACTAATCAAAATAGTACTTATTTAAGTATTTATAATATCTCCTGTTTCTATATCACTAAAGTAAATCATCAAAAATTAAATCGCCCTCAAGATTGGACTTTCATGTATGTTTGTTTCACTTTGAATCTACTGCGCTATAAAAATGTTTTACAATTCATTTTAAAAATAAACCTAATTCTCAAATAGACAGTATTACAAAATTCAAGATCCTAATTATGATAATTTCAAAGTCTTCACCTCTATGAACAATAATAAACTAAATCATCATAAACATCCCTACAATTAGCCATCAGCATTAACACTTCATCATTAGATTGTCTATGTATTGATTTAAAGAAGGAAAAAAACTAAAAATTTCTGAGTTTGATTTGATGCTTCAATCAAGTTTAAGGTTATTTTTGTAATTTAAATGATGCGAATGTTATATTAAACATATTATTCGTTTAAAGTTCAATAATTTTATTAAGTTAATAATAGATTCTATCCAAAATGAATCATGACTCACTAAAGAATACAGTGATTGAAATCTAAATGTTAGTGATAAGAGTTACAAATCCTTTTAAATAAATTAACAAAATTACAATAAATTTTTAAGATTTAGATAATCAAATTTTTACTTAAAGTAGTTTATACATTATTATATCATTCAATGCTTAACATTCTAGTTATAATATCATAAATTAAAATTGATACCTAATTATCTTATGTATTCTAACATAATTATGTTAGATATTAAATAGAAATATCAAAAAAATCTTAAATCCAAATTGAAAGTATGCTACCTAAATAATAATTTATCATTCAAGGGTAGTATCACCAATAGATTTTTAATTTGAAATTATATTCATTATTTCACTTCTCTTGTATAATAATATCTAGGATTTATCATCTGAAATACTATTATCTAAATATACATTTGCCAAATTCACTATTAAAGCAAAATTAAAGAAACAATAAAAATTTAACCAATAGATAAAAATTGTAAGGTAAAATTAGGTTGAAGATGTGATTTTGATTTTAGAAATAAATAAATAAAAAATTAATATTAAGAAAATTTGAATTTATATATTAGATTATTTTAATAGAAATTGATAAATAAAAATATCTAAATAATTTTGGAAATGAATAGTCAATAGATTGTTGTTTAATTGGAAAATAAAGTTTAAGAATGTCTTTAAGGAGTTTAATAATAGTTAGATGTAAGTTATTATAGATAATGATTAGTCTTCTTTCAAAACAATTGATGATTTTCTTGATGAACTTCTTCTTGTTCCTTATCCAGCAGTTGTTCCTTAAAACACTGTTAAATTTGTACCACCAGTTACTTAAATATCTTTAACATCAATAGAAACATTAACTAATTAATTAATTTAAGAAGTCAAACCTTTAATCAATCTAACTATTCATAAACAAATTAAAAACAATCAAATTTAACTTTAATAATAATTAATACAAACTTAGAATATATAACAAAATACAATCATAAACAATCATCATTAATTAAATATAAAACCATTTACTTATAATTTATTATAGAATAATTCAATTTAATAGAATGAATATTGTTTTACAATAGCTATTAATAAAGATAATTCAATTGTATTAGCTGG